ATTCCTTGTCATCCCATACGGGAAAAGAAGTGTCAGACTCGTAGTCGACCACCTTTACATCCTCGACGAGGTCACTTGTCATTGATAGCGCGCGCAAAGCTCGACGCTCGCACTCATCGAGCCTAGGATGTGTATCCCCCGGTGCCGCGGACGCACTGTTGGACACCGCACCGCGTGCGCGAGACGAAGTTGGGCTCTGCCCGTGCTCGCCGTCAGAATCAGCGAGACTAAATGACTTCCGTGTCGTGGACACAAGGCTCATTGAGCAAGATGCTGTTTAATTACGAACGAATCGAGTTGCAGTGTCTAGCGGACACGCGAGCTTCGTTGAGGTAATAATCGATTGGAACTGTAAATGTTCTCAATCTTAATGCGGGAGGGTGTAACGGGGTTACACGTACTCTGGTAACAGGAGTTTGTGTCACACGAGATGTGCATGGTGTGACTGCACCCAAACAAGATAACGGTATGGGGCTAGGTAGCCAGCAGTTATGCATGCATTTAGATTTTACTATGTATATTTGGTATATTTAGAAAAATCTAAACGTTGAAATTAGGAAAAAAAAATCAGTTTTGGATTTTGAAACGAAGAGTCAATTAGCCTTGGGAAAAAATATCTACTTTTGAATAAGCGGATTGCGATCCGCTGACTCGTACTTGTTCTGAGTATATAACGAAAGGTCGGTGACCTAACTTACGCTTCCTCAAGCGCTAAGCGATGGCAGCCCCGCTGCAGCTTCGCTCAAATATTCGATCATTTGTTATACATAATTTAAAGTTAGCCTAAAACGATACTGAAAATATTAGCTTAACTCTTGATTTTCAGCTCATGTAGGTGCGGTTGGTAGCAAGAACCTGTCTTAATGGAGTACCGTCACTCTCGTCCGTACCGAATCTAGTCATGATATTCCATTATGATAACGTGGTACTATTCCTTACAGGCTGAGTTTTTATTTCTGAGGAATCGTGTGAGCATAAGCGTCTCTGAATGTCTTAAAAACTGATCGAATAGAATGCTCCATCCTACCAAACAATACAATTTATTCTGCAAGCCAAAGTTGTACAATTTTTGCTTAAGTTCTCGATCGAGCATCTTTAAGTCAAACATCACATCAGCTTAAAACATTCACGCGTATTCGCTCCAAGGCAATCATGTTTCTAACCTTCCTCATGTTAACACGTGTTGAGATAATGGCAAAACCGAAGTGAATAAAATTAGCTCCATAGTTCGCTACTCTGTGCTACCTCTAAGCCTGTCTTTCAGACCCCTCTAGAAGCTTCTCAATGTAGCCTTATTTACTTAAACCAATGAACGACTACCATTATGTCTGTAATCAGCATCCGTAGTCATTCATGATAGTAATTTTATGACCGTTCTCCTTGTGACGTCATCCACATGCGTTCAGCGTTGTAAACTGAACACAGCACCACATTTGGTAGCAAGGGTGCAAAGATGTACGCGGATCTTAAGATGAACCGTACGGACAAAGAACTTCCCGTCCAAAGGACTATCAGCACGAGTCACTTTAGACATCATATGAAGCAATTGACTTCAATGATTCTAAGCATGCTTATCGAAAAATCTCATCCACTCACAATTGTAGGTAGCATAAGCTACAGATTCCTTGTATGGTCTCTAGCTCTGAGCATTGCGCGGTATTTCATTTGAACATATAGATTTCCAAGTAACGTATGTATAGCTCCCTGTGTTGTGACGGTAGTTAATTAGTGCTAGAAATGGGCTTCCGTAGTCACATGATAAGCACGATAAGAATGTCTTTGTCAACTCAGATAGGGAATTGTGAATCAGGACAAGTTTGATCATGCGAGAATTGAGGACAGACAATAAGCTAAGTATAGTACACCAATTTTCTATGTGCATGCTTTTTTTACTTCAAGGAATGGTATTAATCGAAAGATGATGTGTGTAATTCGTACAGCGGCAAACGGATCCGTAGAAAGAGTGCAGAACATTTGTCTCTGGTGGAATGTAAATATTGCAAACGAGAAGTTCGAAGCAAACAAGCATAAGACGGATAGCCTTTGACAGCTATTCGTGCTCAATTTTGTGGTCATTAGGTCTTTTAAGCGTGCAAGTACAAGGATACTACCCTTGTGTTCGAAGGTCAGGGATCATCTGTGACCGGGTCGACAGCTCGCGTTGCCGATGTACCATGGTTACGAGCAAAAGCAGGGATGATGCTTTTGTACCGGTCTTGCCGAAGTTCTTTGCGTTTGTGAGCACTATTGTCACAAACAACTTGCAGCTTCATTGTTTCAGTAATGGTCGTTAATGCTATAAAGTCACGAATGGTTGATACCGCAGAAAGCAAAAAAAAGATTCGAAGTCTTCTCTCTCGTATACTCAAAGCAACATGGACGCAACGCGACTTGACTTTCACACGCAGCTTTGACGGACTTTATCCACTTTTCATTTTGTCAACAAGAAAACCGAGAGATGGAGGAGGCGGACCGACTTGTGTTAGGTGGGTTTACAAACTGATCCTCGCTGGGGACGATCAATTTGTACTGCACTATCGACAGGTAGCAAAGCGTATATCGACGAATAAAACTGTCCAAAGTCAAAATACTGGAATCCGCCGCCCAAAATGTAAATTGAGTTGTTTGTGGCGAGAGAAACCGTGCTGTATTCTACGAAGCTGCAGCTCGGGCCATTGTGATGCTTCTGTGTCCAGTATTCGTACCTTCCGGTTTGCCGTATCCCATTTGCCAGCAATGCAGACGTTATGTCACCTACAACTACAACCTGG